ATTCTGGTGCACTTTTTCTCTTGTAATCGGTGGAGAAATGACTGAGCTACATCGTTTACAAGTTTGGGCCATCTATAACTGGTGGCCAAAATAGGCACCTTCCCAATTTGGCAGACTGGTGATGCTTTCCCGGATAGCTCAAACTTGTAAACGATGTAGCTCAGTCATTCCTCCACCGATTTACAAGAGAAAAAGTGCACCAGAATTGTATAGATATTCTCTATTCAAATGTATAAGAATATACAGTGTATTTCACTTTGGTGGCTATGCAACACCTATTAACCTAAGGTTGGATACTCAAGCTAATGGCTTCACAACAGATAGGATTTGAGTTTAGGTTTGCTAAGACGAAATCATCGATTACTATGTGGCTCTAATTCTGCGGAACCAGAATTTTAATTACTACCCCTTAACCATGTTAAAGTGCCGATTTTTGAGGCTATCTTGGCACAGGAGCCACAAACAAAATTTCTGGTTCTGTAGATCGATTGTAATTTAAATTCTAAGTAAAATCCTCTCGAAAATCATGTTTATACGTGCTGTGGTTGAAAAGTTATTAACCAATCTCTCCAGACTGCCATATTTGGCAGGGAGAACAGGCTGATTTCGCATTTTTGGAATAATAAACACAATTGCTACATGGAAAACTCTCTCAGTGGATTCAATCACATCATTCCTTCAAACCCATTGTAAAAAATATATTGAATTGGTGTTGTGGAAGGTACAAAGTCCATGTCTCAAGAAATTCGCCCTGTGATGCTCTGTCACAGCATGTCACTGGTCATCACACTTGGCAGGGATTGTTCAAGACCAGTGAGATGAAGGAGTGATGTTTCCTTAAGGAATGTCAATCAAAATTTATCTAGGATTGTAGGGGCTTGTAGGGACTGTCAGCAAGCAAAAGGTGTGAAACGACGTTGAGATGGGTTGCCAAATGTGACAGCATTTGTGACACAGGTCTACTGGTCAAATGAAAATCTCTCCTCAGTCTTGCCTCAGCTGACAGCCAAAAATGGGTGGACAACCTCTGTTCAAGACTCGAGAACTCAATATGCATTGACATCAATCCCTCGAGGAGAATATTTCTCAGATTTAAGTCGAACGAAATTTTGATGCTATTTCCCAATCAAGTAACTTGTGACTGTGTCATTGAGTCGTGTTGGGGCTGTTTCAACCAAAAACCATAGTTCTCAATAACTAGGCAAGATAAAACATTTTAAAGCCCTAGACAAGGGGGCCCCGGGATTTTAGAAACAACACAGGGTAGATTTTTTTTTGTAAGCCATCCGTGACGTCCCCCCCCCCATCGCTCCTTCTAAATAAGGTATGTTTTTGTCCAAAAAGGGTATGTTTTTCCCACCGCTCCTTTGAAGAAATTTCTGGCTGGTGGGCCGTGAACCCGTGAACCTTAAAATGAATAGCTGCTCCCTTTTCAGGTGTACAAATCCAGCTTTTTTTCACATTTACTTTTGCCATGCAAGTCTGAGCTCAGCAAGAAAACTGGGAGGGACAACAGATTTTTCATTTCCCTTACACACTGACTTCCATGGTAAGTTATTAACCGTTCAACTGCATTGGAGGTGCCACTGATGCATCTAGTGTTGCTACAGGGCCCCAAATATAGATTTTCGAAGCTTATGTACTAAATTTTTTTAAGGTGCCGGAGGTCCCCCCCCCCACCTACCTTGGGTCACAGGTCGACATCCCGGGGCCCCCTTGGCCCTAGATTGTGTAGTGTAAATAGTTCATCAGATTTTCTACAATTCAGTTTTTGAGCCATTGTTGTCTTGGCCAGTCCAAACACTTTGAGTGTGAAGAATCTACCACAATTGTCTTGTGGAGTAATCTGCTGCATTATCCAATCCCACTATTTCCTCTTTGTTGGCACACACTAAGTGCCAAGATCTGAGCACACAGATTCAGTTACCATCAACTGCACCAGGGCTTTATTCAAGATAAACACCCCCCCCCATTATTTTCTTCCTGTGTGAGGGATGTTATTCAGCCAATACAAATGTTTGTGTCACTGAACAGTTGATGACTGTACCCAGATAAGTTGTGGCTACTGCCTGCTACAGTGGAGAATCAAAAACTACCAGTGCAATGGATTTCACTGAGAAACTACTTATAAATTCACTGTTTCCTGATGATGCCATAGGCATAGGTCTAAAGCTTGTAAGCTTATGAATGCACAACAAATGGTATTATAAAAAAAAATTAAAAAGCTACTTCTGGGACTGTCCTTGTACAGTGATTGCTACACAGATCAGACGACGTTAGCTCAGTTTTGCATGTTTTCCCAAGACACTAACCAGACATGGTGAGAAGCCAAAAGGTTGGTGTACCCGAAGGCATATTGAGGAAATCAATCTCGCCAGTAAAGAGCGTCAAATTTGTTCCTCCAAGGGTGAACACACCTCCGGGTTCCTCGTCCTTGGCACTGGCATCACCGTTGAATCATGTAAGATAGAAGGCCATCTCAGAGGCAGACAGCTGGCTTCCTAAAGGCTGCCAAAATGGAGTCGATTTCGTGCTAACAATGGCAGGAAACGCCAGACCCATGAGTCCTGATGCTGAACCTTCAAGAAGGCCATTCGTGAGGCGGTCAACGGCCACTGGTCGACGTAAGAGAGTAAGCATCTGACAAACTGAACTCAGAGAAAGTAAACATACAAAATGTTTGGCTTCAAACGTTAAAGTTGCCCATGGAGACCACGTCTTGTGCTATTGTTCCAGCCACCGTGCCGGACCGTCGGGTGCGGTTTCTTGGAATCAGGGATCATAACGCTTGCGATGCGTATAGTATCGTCGTTGTCGTCGTCAAGAAGGGAGGGTGATAAAGGCGAGGTAGGTAGAGGCGTGCTCAGCGTACGTGAGATTGGTGGAGCTGACCCGATCGGCGTGGTGGGAGCGCAGAAACGATGCTTTGTGAGCCGTCCAATAGTAGCACGGATGCTCGTTTTTGACTTTTGGTGAAGCTGTTCACAGAAGTGCATGACATCAGCTTTATAGTAAGGAGTCAGGAGACGCAAAAAGGAAGCCAAAGGGACGAGGTCGAACCGAGACCTGGGACCCCATTTGCGATCAAACAGCCGTCTCGCTCAAGAGAAGAGTCCAATCGAAAAGTGGGAGAAACACGTACGTTGGACTATCCCCCAACTCCCCCAACTTCTTACCCATACTACCCGTCCACGACGCACCACCACCCGCCAAGACACCCAGTCCAGGGATAGACGAAGGGGGAGGAAGAGAACCTATCTCATTCACACCACCATTAATTTGAGAGTAGGGCGAAGCGGAAGCCCGCCTTGATGCGTGTATGAACATTGTCTTCGGCCACTCCCTGATCACAGCCCGCCTCTCAATAGCCGTGCGGAAAGGGAGGAGGCCATGAGTCTATACCTGCGTCTCCTTGGCCAACAACCTGCTCGTAACCTCTGAGCAGAAGAGCCGCATATGTAGGAAATGTGTCCACAGGCAAGGAGGGTAAGGCTGGGCCGTGTCTTGGCCACTAACTGATTCACGGGCGTGATGGACGCATATACGAATGCATATCCCTGGTAGTTGAGTGGCAAGACGTAGCCCGCCTTGGTTGATAGGACAAATCCAAGCCTTCGGTAATCTCTTCGACGGCAGTCTATCAGAGGGTGTCTTGCTGAGTTGATAGAATGAGAGCGAGCCCTAGGCTATGGCTCCTCGTCATACAACCAGCCCCCAATACCCTCCAGTAGCGTTGAAAAGCGCATCAACGCTGAACAACTCGGAGCTGATCCTTGATAAACTCCATAAACGACGACCTGCCTCGGCTGCCACTGGGTCAAGAGTGCCAGATAAGTGGGGAAGGGTGTAGCACCGGATTTCTAGAGGAGAGAGTCGTGTGCAATACCCCGAAGGAATCCATACACGGACCGCCTCGGTGTCGTACCCGGAAGACAGAGACACGTCAAAGAACTGCGCGTGCTGCCACCGCCAACACCAACACCAACCAAAACGTGGCAAGGCTCAGGCTCGATACTTGGTAACTCCCTGGACGACAACCTGCTATGACAAACTCTGGTTCAAGGGGGGTTTCCCGCCCTACACATTGCTCCGAAATCCACAGAGTAACAGAATTGCATGTTTAATAGGGGACCAGAGATGGGAAGGATGAGCGCGAGGAGGAGAAGCAGGGAGAGGGATGTGTAGTGATGAAGCTATAGTAGCATATACTACATGAGAGGAGGGCGTACTCCCACGTCTTGGTATCGGTAAGAGGAGGGCTGGTCAAAGAGCGGCGTGCTGCGAACGCCAACCGAATCATGGGCAGGGTGAACGTATAGGGCATGGGTGCGGTCGTTGGTAACTCTAAACAGATAGCCTCTCAATGAAGGGGACTAAAGAGCTTGGTTTGGGGATAAAAAGAAAGGAGAGCCCGGGGATGTTGGGCGTACAGGTTGCTTCTAAGACCTCCGGAGAAGGGGGGGCATTAAGCACGAGAGGGGATGCATATGCATAATGCCCTGGCAAAGTGGAGCGAACCATGGCCATTCTTCTGGACACCCCCGAATCAATGGATCGGATAACCGCATACACGAGGTTGTCAGCTCTGCTTTTAGAGGCTGGCCATATACAACGCAATCTCGTCATGCAGAGCGTGACTTCGAGCCCACAAAAATTGAAAATTGAACCAGAGCGACGTTATGGGGAGGAGAGTTGGGGCTGGTGGCCGTCGTTTGATGGTTCATAAGTGGCTTGTTCGGTCATACGAGGAACGGCAAAGATGGCGCAATTCCTCATCAACATCGTGAAGGCTTTACCAGTGGGGATAGGTTCATGGACGATAGTCTTGAGAAAACTTGGACAGGGCCCATCAGGTGAACAAGCGCTCGACGTTCAAGGCGTACAACGCCGATTCATAGTTGACGTTTGTCCTCCACATCCAATAATACGGCGACATGCGTGGCGCAAGCAAAGATCCAAGGAAAGGGCGAAAAAGTGTGAGAACAACGAACAAAGACCAAAAGAGAAAATTCCAACTCACTATTCAGCCAACGTCGATGGCCATCTCTCCTTCTCCAAGGGCAAACTCGTCCTCTGGAACTCCCGGTGTCTCCCCATAAAATCAGGATCGCCTCCCCACCGAACTGCTCCTGGACAACCCAGCTCCAACGTGCACAGACTGCTGGGTACCGCGTGCGCTTGAAGGCGAGCGTGCTTCGTTGTTCAAATTTGTCGAGCTTGAAGTGTAGTAGTCCGGGGTTGGGTCAGGTGAGCAATACGATATAGAACTTTGTCTCCTGGAGGCATTTCCTACGCTTGCCGATGTGCTTGGTGAGGGTGAAGACGTAGATGCGGATGATGGTGAGGTGATTGCTCCATCCGAGAGGTGGAGTGGTCGTGGACCGAGTGAGGCGGGTAGTATGTCTAGAGAGTGTCGTTTAGATTCGGTTGTTAAGAAGTAGGATGACGATGACGGCGTTGAGGATGTAGTTCGCGAACCGACTTCGGCGAACGCGAACGCGGACCGGGCACCTCAAAACAGAACCCTAACCCTCGCCATGGCCGTTGTCCAACGAGCCTGCCCATCGTAAATGTTTGGATTCTCTTTCCGGAAGCAACTCCCTTCAGAGCAGCCTGAAGCTCTCCAGTTCCAACCCCAACCCTTTCATCCAGCTGATGAACCAGCTCATCAGCCGCACATTGGTTGGCTGGACTCGCACAAAACATTGCCATTTGAAACGGCGTTTCTTGGTTTGGATAATCGGCACGAGGGTGACACGTAAGGAGGGAGGGAGTCGATGCCACCGCCATTTCATCTTCGACTTTGTTCTTGAAAGAACGGGCTTGAAGGACTAAGCAGCGGCTAGGCTCGAATCGAGGATGATGCAAACACCTTCCCTTTTGTATGTCACAATTCCGTAGAGTCGCGTCTGGAAACCCGATCGGAGCATCAGATGGTGAACGTGTGACCTTGAGAGTGGATGCATCAGCTGGGGGAAGTTGTGGGGAAGAGTCGTTGACGACGTGAATAAGAGAACTGAATAAAAGCGGGTTGAAAGTATACGGGAGGAGGGAAGAGGGAGGACGGAAGAGGGAGGAGGCGGGGAGGGAAGAAGGGGATGGTAAGAAGTCCCACCATCCGCTGTGTGGAGGCAAACAACGCCAACCGAGGAAAAACTCGTAAAACTCGCCCATCAAGACCTTATCACACCCTTCAATTACGACGATCGAACTAGGCCGGCTTTCAGCCAATGAAGGAGTAGTACATTCTGCTTTGGCTTGTGTTTGAGGGACCTTGTCTCTGCGATGGTTTAGGGATCGACTCGACGTGAAGATGCGCTGTGTAGTCTGGTCTGGTGCGAGTCCTGGTCGTCTTGTCGGTGGTGCAAGCCTCCCCCACGCTCGTTGCGTGAATCTCCACCATGTTTGTGGCTCAGCTCCCACCACCGCGTTGATCCTTCGTTCCTGATGTCTGCTCGCCTTGTCCATCGATGTCGTTGAAATTCGAAGACAGCGAAGAACCGCAGGCGTTAGGCGAGATTGAATCAGTCGCGCCGCTGTGCGCTGCGTGTAGCTTCCAACTGCCGCTTGACGTCGTTGTTTCCAATTGTGACGAGTGATCATGATAGCGCCAGCCAAGACTTCATCCTCCCGATCGCCTGCCGCTGTCGATACCTCAATCAGCTTTTCCGAAGATGAATAATGCGCCTAAGTGTACGTATATGCCGTCAAGAGGGATCACACAAAAAAGGTCGAGCCAAAGATACATACCAACTTTATCAACGAAACAAATCCTACGAAATGAGAAGTCAGCAAGACGGATCCAAGTTATGAAGGTGCGGGGAAGAATATCACCTCTTTGGCTTCGAAATTTGGCGTCTGGCATCGTATTTCCGTGTCCACGAGTGTAGCTAATGGGTTCATTGAGGAGATGTGTCCGCTGTGGAGGAAACTGTTCTGAAGGGAAGTACATATGTTGAGGGTGGTCTTGCACACCTAATACGAAGAAAACTGACCTCTGGATAGGGTTATGTAACTGAGTCTTGCGCAGAAACGTTTACGCCTCTTTGAACCGGGTTCCGAGCGCCAATAGGACAGGTGACAGAATTGTCGAGCTGGTCAACGTGTGGAGCGCGTTCGTTGCGCCCAAGTTCTCTTCCTTCCCACGCACATATCTGCTACACTTCCAACGTGAGCCAACCAAATGTCTGACCTCCAGGGCGCTCAGATTGTTGTTATAAGAGGCGGCAACATATATATTGCCGACAGGGTAAGTCAACCTCTGTGGTGCCTCTTCTCACAAGCTACAGTGCTTTGCATTGCCGTTTGCACAACGAGTTTTGGAAATCGTGTTTGTGTGTGTTGTACCGTGACCCTCAAATCAGGAAGTAAGAGACCGCTTACGGACGCAACATCCAACAAGGCCTGCAATCTCCTGCGGTGAACGCTGTTGCTCATCATGGCAAACAATGCTTCGCGCGCGCATCTCATCCGATACCTGAGGCGCAACAAAAGTTGGGTTTGAGAAATTCAAAATTCTCAAAGTCGTCCTGATGTGTGACAATCTGTGACGAACATACAAAACCAAACACAATTTTCGCAAATTCGGTGTGCAGACGGCAATGCAAAGCACTGTAATCAATTGGTATTTTGCACAGAACAAAACAGGAACCATTCAATTGAAATCCAGTGCAGGACACTCAAAACCGGCAGCCTCCACAAATTGGAGGTCTACCTCACTTCGCTTCGAATACCGGCAACATGCCAGCTAGAACGCTGCCCAATTTTGAAGACGACCCTCTCACCAATGCCATCAAGCCGCCACCAGACGAAACACCTGAAAAACGACATGGCCGATTGTGTTCGAGCAAGACGCGAAGGCCATCTCCGATTCAATTGACAAGGAGTTGGAATCACAACGCGCATCTGAGAGGAATGGGCAGAAACCGGTCAAGGTTCTTCTGCCTGGTGAGTCTCCCCTTCACCTCGAACGACGAGCGCAACTCATTGGAATCACAGGTCAAATTGAATCAGGTGGGCTGTTATCATGCCATTCTTCCACGGACCACATGGGATCTAATTCGCGCCATTGAGGCAAATCGACCACTTTGAAAAGTAGGCTTCGCCCTGACAACGGTTTATCCGCCCGCTGACGTCGTGCGAGGACAGATTTTCAGCTGCTTTACGAACCAAAGGCACGTTCCCTCAACACATTCAGATGTTCATACGCTGACCATTCACGACAGACCTTTCACACGGAAAGAGCGTCGTGGCGGGCAGTGATCCAACTCAACGTGGTTCGCTCAATCCACTTGATTTTCGATGCTATCTCAAAGGCAGAGGAAACCTCGTCTGGATCCCAGGATTTTGCAGTAGACCTGATAGCTTCCCCCGAGTTTTTGAAGCTTAAATTACGTCTAGCCCCCCTCCTTCAAGTCAGAGAGACCCTCATTCGCCGTCTTACGCCGGCTGGATCTAGTGAAACGGAGGCAACCTTACGAATCGGGAGAGATATGTCGTACTCCGAACGCACGAAAAACTACATGAAGGAGGTCACTATCAACTCCGCTGTGCAATGGAAAGGGTCGTTTGGACGCAGGGACGTAGGGCGCAGTAGCTTCGATACAGACAAGGCTATGAATTGGGAGGATGCTGATGACCCCGGTCGCATCCTACACGCTTGTTCTGAAGATATGATACGACTATGGGAAGACCCAATGACGAAGAAGTTCTAGGAGGCACAAAAACTTTGAGTCTGGGAGCTCACCGGATTGTACGCTGTTTTGTCGATTCCAGATGGCTTGATCGCTGACGTGACTATAGCTTTTTGGATGCTCTGGAACGAGTTACGGCTCCCCAATACATACCCACTGACGGTACGCCCCTTCCTATTGCCTATTTCCTCCTTCTCATGCCTGGGGTCCCCAGATGACATCCTGAAAGCACGCTTGAAAACGTTAGGCGTCACTGAGCATCGCTTTATTCTTTCCGGGAGTGAGTCACAATTATCCTGGGATTATGATTTACTCAACACACTCTCAGAGAATAACATCAGCAGGGATTGGCGCGTTTTCGACATTGGAGGACATAGATCACAGGTACTCTTTTTCCTCCTACAGCATTTTGTCTAATTGAATTGATGAATCGTTAGCGAGGTAAAAATCCACCTACCTTTCTCCCCTTCCAGGTCTTCTGATAGGCGGAAATAATCTCCACTATTGATAGCTGCATGGGTCCCGTACTTCGATGACACGGATGCTATCATCTTTCTTGCCCCAATCAGGTGAGGTCGATCGTTCCAAAATAGCAACATAACGGCAATTCGCTGATGATACTTCAGTTGCTTCGACCAAGTACTTGCGGAGGACCACAAAGTCAATAGACTGGTGCCTCATCTATACGTTCTCTATCTTTGTTCTGGACCCCTGACTCGCTCTCTACTTAGGAAGACTCAGTCAAACGTCTCGCACCCCCTTTTGAAGAACACCAACCTAGTCCTATTTTTGAACAAGATTGACATACTGCAGTCGAAACTGGCTTCTGGGATCAAAATAGCCGATTATGTGGTGTCTTACGGAGACCGTCCTAATGACTACGAACATGCATCGACCTGTTGCGTCATTTTGGCTTCATCCTCCCTCACTTGTGACTGACCCTGCTGATCATGAATACGACAGATCTGAGAAGAAAATTCTGTATGTGGTTCACCGAGACTTCTAGCTGGTTCTGCGCTCACAACAAATTTCAGCTGGTATTCTGAAGGAGAAATCGCCCCTTCCCCGCGTCTTTTATTGCCATTTCACGACGGTAACCGTATGTGCGCATCAACCTTTCACCTGAACGTCATCTCACAGCATTATAGGATACGAAATCTACGAAATACATCTTATCCAATCGTCAGTTGCTGCCTCATTCGCCAATACAGGTCACTGACGGTCAAACACAGTTAAGGATATGCTTATGAGGGACAATCTCACCAAAACGAACCTTATAGCCTGATACCACCCGCTCACCAACTAGTCTTACTATATATTTGTTGTAACGTTACCCTTGTAGTCTTGTAGATTTAGGATACCATGTAATGTATAACCGTTCTAAGGAGTCGCCTTCAATTCAAACTCTTCGTCAAGGTCCGTCATTGCAGAAGACGTGGCGTCAGGCGTCCAACTTGACAACCTTTCCCTTTGCCACCACAATCCTGGTCTACCAGCCCCATTATTCAATTCTCTTTCCCATCGCACCTCCATTTCCCCTTCAAGTACTCCATGAGTTCCCCCTAATGCTGAATTCCACACGGCCATGCCAATATTCTCGATCTGTTCGGCTTCAATCTCAGAAGCAGATTCTTGCAATGGTGGAACGTGTAGGAGAAAGAACGGTATCGGCGAGGACATAGCGCGTAGGAGAGTCGATTTGGTGAATGGAGATTCGGAAACCAGCAGAGCTACCACCGGGTCGAGGGTTGAAGGAGCCGTGGTAGGGTTTACCCAATGATGCTGGATTGAGGGTAGAAAGCGGTGAAGCACCCCTTCCAGTTCTCTGACATACTTCGGGCTTGTCTTCTTCTTTTCCGCTTTGCATTGACCAAGTACATGTATTCGCCGTCGTGGGGAGTTCGCAGAGCCGGATGGGTCAGGTAACCACCACCACCCAAGTAGGTCGATACCGCCATCTTCTTTTCCGCCAACTTGTCTCAGCGACATAGACATATTATCCCGCAGGAGTTTCAGTGACCGTTCCTCGAATGCCGTCCCCCGATGGACAGTAGAGAGTGGCTTTGAAGCCCAGTTAAGACTCGCCGAGAAGTTCCGCCTGGCCAACGAAGCACCGAACGTCGAATATGATGGTGTCATCGCACTGGGGGGTGCGAAGCTGTATTTTGTGAACGTTGGTGATTGGCTGATGAAGCTGAAGGCTGGCGAACACTGCAATGCGAGTTTCAATTTGTTTACTGGTCGGTACTCGAATGCTTACTTGGAAATAAAATAATACGTACGGGCGGCATTGCTCCGACACCTACTGCTGCTGCCCACGCCTTGCTTTCACAGGGGGTGACGTCGACCATTAAAACTACGTCCCCAGCTGGAACTGTCCTAGTTCCTAGTCCGTTATTCTTTCCTGGTAACACCGCTAGACGAGGATTTGAGGTACAGGGATGGCGATTGACGTTAGTCGGAATCATTGTTGTGATGACCACCTATCTGGTTTGGTAATCCTTCCCATTAAATTCTTTCCCTTTTCCAGATCTTTTGCCGGGCTGATTTTGTTGTGCATGGATAATACTTAGACATCATGGAAACATCATGTATCTTATTTGTATAGGATATTGGACAATGGAGACGTTATGTTTTTATTTGAATAGAAGAATATCAGACGTTAGGGCCTCTATAAGTGTTTGGATAATCAGTCAAAGGCAAAATCTTACTTGTATTTTGGGTGCGATAAATGGGTCAAGTTTCCATCAAAGATATTTATGTCACGAATCAGGATAAAAGGCGATGCGCCGTGGAGTCGGTGGAACGCGGTGCGGTGACGCGATCATGGGCCACTCCGCCCCAACCCCCGCTTGAATAAGACTTCGTTTATCGCTGAATGTTCTACATTTGTTTATACAGGTATCAAAATTCGACAAGAACTGATGTCAGGGGATAAAAGCTCCAGCGAAGAGGTTCATAAATCCGTAAAACCCCAATCGCCTCCTACAATGTGCAGCAGCATCAGCAGCTCATAGGTCTTTCAATGCCACTTCATCATCCGTCTTCAAACAGGAGGCGGCAATTGGCCCGACAATTTTGGGTTTGTTCCGCCTCAAATCGATGGAACTCAACTTGCGCAAAGGGGAGCGGATATGCGAGCTGTGTATGGTTGAGTACTCCACAGAGGCGCAAGGAGAGGCACTGAACAAAGGAGCAAGGAGAAAGCCTAGAGCTTTGACGGTTGAGGGGGACCGCGGCTGCAAGAAAGGGGATTCAGCTGAAAGGAGTAGGTCTTCCGTTTGAGGATTGAGCAACAACTAAATAGCGTTTGCCCTTATCTTTTTGCAAAGGGATAGTTGTCGTCGGCCCTCAGGATGTCACAGAAAGCTGGTGACGTGGATATTTTCTACAAAAGATGTCCGGTGTGCCTTCAATGAAGAGAAGTGATGGCGCTGTCCACGGTGAAGATGCTATGCGGGGAACGGTCGAGGATAGCCCATTGATAGCTTATATGGTATATTAGCAAAAGCCAAAACAGAAGGAGGAGTACTAGTTCACGTACGATTCTCGAGTGACCGCGGAGCCCATAATCCGCTCACGAGGGAGGGATCACATACTTCCCATCGTCCTACGCATCTCCAATCAACCAAAAACCACCTTGTTGATCAATCGTTCCTGATGTCTACTCACCTAGTCCCCTGATGGCGTTGAAATTCGAAGATAACGAAGAACCGCAGGCGTCAGGCGAGATTGACTTGGTCCTGCCGCTGTGCTGCGTCTAGCTTCCAACTGCCGCATGACGTCGTCGTTTTCCAATCGGGCGTGCTGTAGTAAGGTCAAAGGGTGACTCAGCTCCAATTTCTTGCTGGTCGGACTCGCCGATCTACCAGGCTAAGTCAACGCCACGACTTCTTCACTGTCTCCTTCAACTCGTCCTCGGTCTTTTCCTTCGGGTCTGATCCTTGGTAACTCCCTGGATGACAGCCTGCCATGGCAGACTCTTGTTTCAAGGGGGTTTCTCGGCCTACCGAAATCCAAAGAATAAGAGAATCACATGTGTGACAGGGGACCGGATATAGGAAGGAGGAGCGCGAGGAGGAGAGGGGGTGCAGTGATGAAGCAGCATATGCTGCATTGAGTCTTGGTATCGGTAAGACAAAGGCAGGTCAAAGAACGGGGCGTTCTGCCAACGCCAACCGAATCATGGGCAGGGTGAACGCATAGGGCACGGGTCCGATCGTTGGTAACTCTCTAAACAAGGACCTGCCTCGATACCCTCTCATTTAAGAGCTGGGTTTGACGGCAAAGAGAGAGGAGAGCCCGGGATTGTTGGGCGTACAAGTTGTTCCTAGAACCTCCGGAGAAGAAAGAGGCATTGGACACTGGAGGGAATGCATAAAGGACCCTCCTTGGTGAGGCAAGGATTAGAGCGAACAACTCTGGACACCAACCCGAATGCTCGGGTCGTACACAAGGTCGTAGGCTCTGCCTCTAGAGGCGGGCCATATACAACGCAATTGCGACATGCAGAGCGTGACTTTGAGCCCACGAAAATCGTATCAGAGCGCCGTTGTAAGGAGGCAAGATTTGAGGCTTGAAGGTCGTCGTTTGATAGTTCATGAGTGGCTTGTCGGGTCATACGAGAAAGGGCAAAGATGGCCCTATCCCTCCCCAACATCGCGAAGGCTTGTCCAACGGATGTAGGTTCGTGGAAGAGAGTCTGGGAAAAAAAGGAAGGGGCTCATCAGGTGAACAAGCGCTCAACGCGTACAACGCCGATTAATGGTTGACGTTTGTCCTTGATCCACATCCAGAAATACGACTAAGAAAGAAAGAAAAAAGAGCCAGAACAACGAAAAGAAGAACACCAACTCACTTTTCAGCCAACGTCAACGGCGGCCTCTCCTTCTCCTTTTCCAAGGGCAAACTCATCCTCTGAATCTCCCCATGTCTCCCCTTCAAACCCGGGCTTCCCCTCCCCACCGAACTTCTCCTGGACAATCCAGCTCCAACATGTCCAGACTGCGTACCGCGTCCACTTAAAGACGAGCGTGCCGCGTTGTTTAGATTCATCGATCTTGAAGTGTAGTAGTCCAAGGTGCAGTCAAGGGAGCAATACGATATGGAGCTTTGTCTCCTCGAGGTTTTTCCTATGCCTGCCGTTGTGCTTGTTGAGGGTGAGGAAGCAAATGCGGATGATGATGTGGCTATTCCATCTAGAAGGTGGAGTGGTCGTGGACCGAGTGAGGCGGGTAGTCGTTTAGATGGGGTCGTTGATGAGTATGATGACGATGGCGACGTTGTGCAGAATGTCTTCGCTTCTGGGCCAAACGTTCACGAACGAACTTGGGCGAACGAAAGGGAACCCTAATCCTCGGCTCTCGGTACAACCTCCCTCTTTCTGAAGGCAAATGCCTTCAGCGTAGCCCGAAGCTCTCAGTTCCAACCCCAACCCTTTCGTCCAGCTGAGGAACCAATTCATCAGCCGAACACTGGTTGGCTGAGCTCGTGCAAAATATTGTCTATGGAACCGCGTTTCGTGAGTTTGATAGATGCCATGAGGGTGACATGTAAGGAGGGAGGGAGTCACTGCTACCACCATTCCATCCTCGACCTTGTTCTTGGAAGAACGGGCTTGAAGACTGAGCAGCGGCACGGCTCCGATCGAGGACATGCAAACACCTGTCCTTTTGTATGCCACATGCCCATAGAGACGCGTCCCGAGACCCGATTGGAGCAGCAGATGGTGGACGTGTAACGTTGGGAGTGTATATGCATCAACTGGGGGAAGTTGTGGGGAAGTGGCATTAGCGACGTGAAGAAGAGAGTCAGAAAGTAGCCAAAAGAAGGGAAGAGGGGAGGAGGTGGGGATGGAACAAGAGGATGGTAAGAAGAGGGGTGGAGAGAAGAGGGGGGTTGGAAAGACTCCATCATCCGCTTTGTGAAGGGATCGATTCGACGTGAAGGTCCGCTGTGTAGTTTAGTCTGGTACGAGTCCCGGTCGTCTTGCTGGTGGTGCAAGCTTCCCCCACGCTCATTGCGTGAATCTACACCACGTTTGTGGCTCGAGCTCCCGCCACCGCATTGATCCCAAGTTCTTGATGTCTACTCGCCCAGTCCATTGACGGCGTTGAAATTCGAAGATGGCGAACAGCCGCAGACGTTAGACGAGATTGGATTGGTCCTGCTGCTGCGCCTAAGTGTGCGTATACATTGTCAGGAGGGATCACACAAAAAAAATCAAACATACGAACATTATTGAAGGAAATCGTCGGAGACGCTCTGCGTGGAGTACCCCGCGGCTGATCGAGGTGAAGGGTTGAGGGCAGGTGGAGACGGAGGAGTTGATTGGCTGTTCTGAGCAGTTGTTAGCACGTTCACATTGAGTGCGGGGGAGGGGAACGATGGGAGTAGACAGAGTGATGCAATACAGCCAGGGAAGGGAAGAACGAAGAGGGAGAGGTACTAACAAGTGGCAGTGCGAACCAAAACTTCAAGCGCTTCAAGCTTCCGATGATCTGCCCCTGCGCAGAAACGTTTACGCTTCTCTGAACCGGGTTCCGAGTGCCCACTGGGACAGGTGACAAAGAGCTGTGTTGAGCGCTTACCGGCAAAACGCGAACGATGCCTGATGGTCAACGTGTGGCGTTTGTTGCAAGCTGTCGCTTCTTCCCTTCGCCCACATCTGCTACACTTCCAATATGAGTGAAAACCATATCTTCCAAGGTGCTCAGAACTTCGTTATAAGAGGGGGCACATTCGTGGCTGGCGACAATGTAAGTGAAGCGCCCTCTTATCGCAAACTAATCATTCGGTATTTTGCACAGATCAATAACTACACTAGCGCTGGCAACAAAGCGACATCCGATGCAGCGATTCCCGAAAAACCAAACTCAAGTATTCGGTTCACGGGACGGACCGACGTTCTCGCAAAACTGAAGAAACATTTTACTGCCAAAAGAAACAATAAACTCCGCCCTCGAAAATTCTTTTTGTTGTATGGCATGGGGGGTATCGGGAAGACCCAGATTTGTTTGAGGTTCATTGAGGATATGTCTAACTAGTAAGTACCCCACCATATTACTTAGTCCCTATTTCTGATTGGTCCCCAGCTTTTCCCATGTTTTCTGGATTGATGCATCTTCAGTTGGTACAATCACTCAGGGACTGAAGGGAATCTGCAACCTTCCTGAGGCTCAGTCTTCTTCTCTGGATGGTTCACCTCAATCTGCTTTACAGTGGATTAGCTCTCTAAGAGGAAACTATGCACTGGTCTTTGATAATGCTGATAATCTGACAACTGAGGAACTTGAGCAATATTTTCCATTTGGGCTAGGAGGGAATATTCTGATAACTAGTCGCAACTCTGGCTTAAGACATTTGACTCTACATGAGAATTCTCTTGAGGTGAAAGAAATGGAAGGAAGTGATGCCATCTCTTTACTCTTAAAGGCTGCTTTCTTGAGTGAGTCTCAGGGAAACTTACAAGCTGAGGCTTCCAAAATTGTGAATGAGCTCTTTTGCATTCCTCTGGCCATTGATCAGGCTGGTGCTTTTATTGCTTTTGGGGGCAGAGACATAAGAGACTATCTTGATGAATATTCTCAACACAGAGAAAATTTATTATCTTACCCAGCTTTCAAAGGGGCATCAAAGTATAACAGAACTGTGTATGGGACTTGGGAGCTATCATTTGAAGAAATTCAGCAAAGAGCTAAAAGTGATGATTCTCGAGAAGCTGAGGCGGCTAAGAGTGCAATGTTTCTTCTGGCAATCTTTGCCTTCTTTCATTTTGATGGCATTACAGAAGAGATTTTTTCCTATGCTGCTACTCAGGAATATGGAGATAATGAGCAAAGGTCTGCCTTGCCTCTTGCAAGCTCCATAATAGACCGCACACTGCTTCAGCTTCATAACACAGGAAAATGGGATAATTACACCTTCAAAGAGGGGATTAGAGTATTACTGTCTTTTAGCCTGATCAAACTGGTTTCATTCAAAGGCATCTATACCATGCACCCACTTATTCATGCATGGGGAAGAGACAGAATGACCTCAGATGATAGACAGATATATTGTTTGATAGCATATGGAATGTTAGCTTGCTCTCTGCCAGAAGACTTCCATGAGCAGCCATATCAATTCAGGAGAATTTTGGTCACTCATTTGAGGGCCAATATACAGCACAGTGTAATGGCAAAGAAAGAACTGGCTGATAGATACTTCGATGATGCTCATGAAAAGTTTGGGAGACTGTTGAGCGAACAAGGGTATGACAGTGAGGCAGAGAAGTTTCAAATTCTGGTGCTGGATGCAAGAAGCAGAACTTTTGGTGAGGAGGACCCATATACAATCAGAGCCATGGGTGAACTTGCAACTACATACCAGAATTTAGGAAAATATGCAGATGCAGAGAAACTCAACATGAAAGCTCTAGATATGAGAAAGAGACTTCTTGGAGAAGATGACATAGCTACAATTTGGTCCATGGCTAATCTTGCAATGACATATGGGAGGCTAGGGAAATATGCAGATGCAGAGAAGCTTGAAATCAAAGTTCTAGATATGAGAAACAGACTTCTTGGAGAAGAGCACCCAAACACAATCTGGGCCATGAATAATCTTTCAAATACATATGGGAATCTAGGAAAATATGCAGATGCAGAGAAGCTTCAAAGCAGAGTTGTAGATATGAGAAACAAACTTCTTGGAGAAGAGCACCCAGATACAATTTGGGCCATGGGTGGTCTTGCAAATATATATAGCAGTCTAGGAAAATATGCAGATGCAGAGAAGCTTGAAATCAAAGTTCTAGATATGAGAAACAGACTTCTTGGAGAAGAACACCCTGACACAATTGATGCAATGGAAAATCTTGCAATAACATTTTACCATCAACAAAGATACACAGATGCAGTCAGGCTGGAAGCCCAAGTTGTGGATGTAAGAAAGAAGATTCTTGGAGAAGAACATCCAAAAACAATTCAAGCAGTGGCATCACTTGCACAAATTAGATCTCAAGCCAACACAGATGCTTCAGGAACTGAATCAAAGAAACAAGGTGAGTCTTATCTACTCTAGAATCTGGTCAATTCACATATTTACAATGTTAGTTCACCATTTTTCCACAATTGCAAGCAGGCTTTCCAAAATATTGAAGAGAAAGGTATTGCAATATTCCAACATTCCTCATTTTATAGATTCTTATTTGGTTTTTCAGTAGTTAGTGTAACATATCCATGGGGCCCTGCAGGCTACTTATGTAGTGGCATTGGCTTGTAATTATAGGAGCAAATTGAAAGTAATTGTATGTTTTTGCTAAACATTGAACATTGAAATGTCAATCATGGTGTCGTAAATGCTCCAAAAATATTCCCTAGAAGAGGGGTGCTGTGAGAACATATTCATGCAAACCCAGATTGAGAAAACCAGAAAGGTATGCCAGAGGCGAGAAATTGATAAAGGCAAGGTAGGTAGAGGCATGCTCAGCATACATGAGATTGGTGGAGCTGACCTGATTGGTGTGGTGAGTGCGTTCCATGCAGAGACAATGCTTTGTGAGATGTCCAATAGTAGCACAGATGCTTGTTTTTGACTTTTGGTGAAGCTGTATACAGAAATACATGACATCAACTTCACAGTAAGGAGCCAGGAGAGACAAAAAGAAGGCTAAAAGGATGAGGTTGAATAATCCCTTTTATGATTGAAAAGCCGTCTCACTCAAGAGAAGAGTCCAATTGATAAAATCGGAGAAACATGTACATAGGACTATCTCTCAACTCCCCCAACTTCTTACCCATACTACCCATCCACAATGCACCACCACCCACCAAGACACCCAGGCCAGGGATAGACAAAGGCAAGGGAAGCAAACCCATCCCATTCACACCACCCCCAAACCTGCCATTGGACTGTGCCGCATACCCATGTCCGTTTGTGTTGAGGGTCACCTGCATATTCCCATTCGTCTTTTCCCTGCCACTACTGCCACCCTCAAGCTTCGCAGTACCCTCAAGCTCAGGGAGTGGTGATGGTACCCTTGAGCTCCCTACTGAACTTGCAGTAGTGGTGTTTGCCGTCAACCCAGGCTCAATGGCTGACAGCCCACTGCTCCAATGCAGGGGGATGACATCCTTCGATTTCCACCAGCATACTTTGGCTCCCCCACTGGGGGTCAAGTCCAAGCTAGACGTGAAGGTCGCTTCATTGAACTCCTCCTCCTCATCAGGCTCTCCTTGCATTTGAGACTCCCCTGAATTGGGCTGCTGTGGCTCCACCACACCCTGTTGCCATTCTTTGTGCTTAAATGCAGGGTTCGGACTTATGGTTGGAGTAGCACCTGTGTCATGTACCATCAACTCTGGGGCCACACAAAAGTCATCACTTTCCCCAAGTGCCTCACCAACGTCATCATTTCCCAACTCCTTGCCACCTAAAGATGATGCAGCCATTGAGTTTGAGCACTGTAAATACTGCATCATCACTGCCATGAACCATCCCACACCCATGCCCTATGCCAAGACATCCCCAAGACAAACCCTTCACCATGATGCCTTGTTCCCCCATCCCAACCCTTTATTGTCTCACTACCTTGTGATTCCTTGTTCCCTTGTCTCCTCCCATCCTTATTGTACTTATTGTTCTTCCTTGGTTGCCTTGGTATCCTTCCCTTAGATATTTAGGTAGCTCGTCATGTACTCCCTACCTCATCCTTGATATTACAAATGCACCTCTGAGCTGTTTCTCTGTTCCTGGTCTCTCATCTCTGTCTCCCGGTTGAGCTCTGCTCTCAGTGATAGGCCATGTGGTTGAGCCTTGCTCCCATCTTGTTACTAACCTGGCAATGCCTCAGAGTCCAATTCAGTTTGTGATCTCACTTGTGTCCAATCCTTCGCCTCCCTGCCTCCCGCATTCTCCATATCTGATCTGATCTCCATTCTACTTACCTTTCCAACAACCCCTCATATGCCTCATTCTGCCCAGAACTCATCCTGCCACACACATATCTCTTTTCACCAACCCAACCAACTCTGACGTTATAGCCAACTCTGGCACTATAGCTCCTCCGGCATTGTTCCCAACTCTGAGTTCCTTGTCCATCTGCAAGTTACCTCTGCCGCAACCCATTTCTGCACCTTCATCAAACCCTCAGGTGCACGAGAGCTTCCCTCTTAGGATGGATCCTCACAGTCACACACAAGTAGACATAGGTGTCCCTATAGTACCATAAAAGTACAACTTGGTCAATTGTCCTATGGGTCATAGGTCTACCCAAATGGGCCCAATGAGCAACTAGACTATGGTGCTGTAGATTGGCCCAAAGGTGTAAAAACACCTAATGTTTATCATTGGGCCAAATGATGCCAGACATCTTAGGCAAAAATGGATGGTGAAATTAGGCGAAGGAGTTCCGAAATATATTATCTCCAGGGCATACACAATGTCATGGAAGTCTCAGGGATGTGCAGAATATTCAGAAAAACAATCCTGGTGTCCAGAGCATCACTTCTGACATCTGGAGGACATGCAAAAATGAATGAGTTTACAGAGTACAATATCCCATGGACCTGTATAAATATGCCAGGGATCAATGAAATGTTGAGGAGAACATCCCTGGCATCTATATATGTTCTGGGACAATGTGACGTCTCCATACTATTAACTTTGATATTTATGGGACATGCAAAAATGGCTCAGGTGTGAACTACATTATATAGAACATCCCACAGGACCATTAATATGATTATCCCAGGGAAATCAGGAAAAAATAATGTGGTAGCCATATAAATATCCAAGGGGAATGCAAAAAGTCTGGAGCAATAATCTGAACATTCACAGGACATTGAAAAGGCAAGGTTGGATGGCTGGACAAATGTTCTGGGAAAATGCAAAATGTCTGGAGCATTAATTTGAATAGACAGAGGACATCCAAAAAGCACCTGCATAAATGTTTTGGGAAAATGTGAAATGTCCAGACCAATAATTCAATTATCTATGGAACATCACAACAACAACCCTGGTAGTGGTATAAGTGTCCCAGGAAAATGCAAAATGTCGGAGCATTAGTTTCAATATACAGAGGACATCCAAAAAGCACCTGCATAAATGTTTTGGGAAAATGCAAGATGTCCAGACCAATAATTTGATTATCTATGGAACATCAGAACAACAACCCTGGTAGTGGTATAAGTGTCCGGAAAAATGCGAAATGTCCAGAGCATTAGTTTCAATATACAGAGGACATCCAAAAAGCACTTGCAGAAATGTTTTGGGGAAATGCAAAATGTCCAGACCAATAACTTGATTATCTATGGAACATCACAACAACAACCCTGGTAGTGGTATAAGTGTCCCAGAAAAATGCGAAAGTATTAGTTTCAATATACAGAGGACATCCAAAAAGCACCTGCATAAATGTTTTGGGAAAATGCAAGATGTCTGGACCAATAATTTGATTATCCACAGAACATCAGAACAACAACCCTGGTAGTGGTATAAGTGTCTCGGAAAAATGTGAAATGTCTGAAGCATTAGTTTCAATATACAGAGGACATCCAAAAAGCACTTGCAGAAATGTTTTGGGGAAATGCAAAATGTCCAGACCAATAACTTGATTATCTATGGAACATCAGAAGAACAACCATGGAGTGGTATGAATGTCCCAGAAGAATGCGAAATGTCTGGAGAATTAGTTTCAATATTCAGGGGACATCTGAAAACAACCCTGGATAGCCACATGAATGTTCTGGGAAAATCTGAGGTGTCCAGAGCAATGGGACATCAGAAAACAACCATGGTAGTTTTGTAAATGTCTGAAGAAAAAGCGAAATATCCAGAGCATTGATTTAAATACCCACAGGACATCCAAATAACACCCCCAGATGTCCCAGAAAAGTGCAAAATGTCTGGGGCATGACTTTTGATACCCAAAAGATGTCAAAAAAGCAACACTGGTGTCCATATAAATGTCCCAGACATGTGAAATCTATGGAGCACTGGTTTTAACATCCACAGGACATTAAAAGCAACCCTGGTATTGATATAAATGTCCTGGGAGAATTCAAAATCTCCTGGGCAATAATTTAAATACACTGGACCTCAAAAACAACCCTGGATGTCCCAAAAAAAATGCAAATATGTGGGGCATGAGCCGCATGACATTTAATATCCACAAGATGTCAGAAAAGCAGCCCTGGTGTCCATATAGGACTCTGGTTTCTAGTTGAATCTCCTGGGACAATGTGAAGGTCTTGAAATGAAGGGTACACTAGAGGTCTTTACCATCCCCCACGTAATCCATGTGGATTCCAGTGGCCCTCTTACCAGGCCAGATTGGCTGGCAGAATGCCCAGTCCACTGGAGTCCAGTCCAGTCCAGTCCAGTCCAGTCCACTGGACTCCCACTGGACTGCCAGCCACTTTCCTGAGTCCAGTCAGAGTCCAGTGGAGTCCAGTGGAGTCCAGTGGATTCCAGTCATTCCAGTATATTATTATTATTATATATGAATACTCCTAAAAAAGCGAAAATAGAGTATACAATAAACTTACATTTTAATGATCAATGAAAGGAAAGGTTATAATTTACATGTAGTGTGGGTCAGTGATAGCTGCAATAAGGATTTATGATTTTGTTCAGTCTGCAGGGTGAGGTCACGTGACTTACTTGAGGGCGTGCCATATCGTCACGTCTCCTGTTTGCGGCATGGTCACACCTCCGTGACCATCCCATTCCCTTCCACCACCACCACCTCTATCACTGCCCATGCCAACGCCGCCCACGTCAACGCCGCCCACATCAACGCCGCCCACGCCAACGCCGCCCACGCCCATGCCCACGCCAACGTGGAAGGACAGGCCAAGAACGAGGGACGGCGCCCATGACAGCCAGTACATCCAGAATTATGTATCAGATATAGTCTATTGACTAAGTCTACCTATGCATCACAGCAGTCAATTGACCAACCTTCCTAATCAGGAAGGTAGCCTTGCTGAGCTCCCTAGAGCCAGCCTTGGTGCTCACTGATTCCCACAGCTTGCTCACTGTTTTCAGGGTCCAAAAGCGCACTTCCAAATGTGGTTGTTTTCAGGGTCCAGGGCGCATTGCCAAATATGCAAATGTGCGCTTATCTAAAGGAAAAATAGCAATAAAATAGCAGAAAAATAAGAAAAAAATGGGGGATGGTGGTTATGATGGTAGGTTGTTTTCAGGGTCCAGGGGATGTCCAAATATGGTAATCTATCCAAACATGGCCAGAAAATACCCGAAAAATCAGAAAAAATTGGGGGATGGTGGTAATGATGTTGGGTTGTTTTCAGGGTCCAGGGGCTATGTCAAAATATGGTAATCTATCCAAAAATAGCCAGAAAATACCCGAAAAATCAGGAAAAATTGGAGGATGGTGATGATGATGTTGGGTTGTTTTCAGGGTCCAGGGTCTATCCAAATATGGTAATCTATTTAAAAATACTCGAAAAATCAGGAAACATTGGGGGATGGTGGTGATGATGTTGGGTTGTTTTCAGGGTTCAGGGTCTATTTCCAAATATGGTAATCTATCCAATGATAGCCAGATAATCACCAAAAAAATCAGAAAAAAATACAAATAGTTCCCACTGTTGATGATGATGTTCAGGTACTTTGTTCAGGGTTCAGGGCAACATCCAAATAAGGAAACTTCTTTGTTTCTGATGAAAAAATAACCAGAATATCAGAAAAAATGTAAATGGTGTAAGGGATGTCAGGCACTACTTTCAGGGTCCACTTCAGGGTCCACCCCAAAAGAAAAGCTCACCTTATTTGACCAAAAAGTGAAGAAAAACAAGATAAGAATGATTCTATCTGTCAGGGTCCATCTAATGGGGTGTTGGGATGGTGGTCACATGATCAATTACCAAAAATGGTCAAAAAACAAAAGTTGTAGTCCTATGCTGTAGCTTCCTGAATCTGTTTGAATTATGTTCTGAAGTGCTCCTGTTGTGGAGATATGATGTAAAATATTTTGAAAAGCACCGCATTTTTTGTTTTTTGTTTTTTGTGTTTTTCTCCATGAAAACAAAACCAAACAACATGATTTCAACACATTTAGAAAGCTAAAAGAAAGGGCTACAATTATTGTATTGTGGGAAAAATGACCAAAAAAGGAAGGTGCATGCCTTAAAAGGGAAACTGACACTGACAGACTACAAAGTTTACCAACAAACTACAAAAGACTACAACACAAAAAGTTAGACATAGACTACAAAGTTTACTGATAGACTACAAAAGACTACAAAAGTCAGACTTAGACTACAAAGTTTACTGACAAACTACAAAAGACTACAAAAGTCAGACTTAGACTACAAAGTTTACTGACAAACTACAAAAGACTACAGAAGTTGGACTTAGATTGCAAAGTTTACTGACAAACTACAAAAGACTACAAAAGTCAGACTTAGACTACAAAGTTTACTGCACTTCAGTCACCCAGTGCCAACTGACTATTAGTCATGCAAACTCCATGTAAGTTACATGACTAAATGTCATGGACCATATCTATATTCTAGATATATATGGGTCCTAGAAAGCCCTGAAATCTAAAATATATTTTTGACACATGGACCCTGAAATGTCACACAAAAATTATAATGTCTGTGTCACACCACCAAAATATATTTTGCAAGTGAAATGCAGTAAGGATATATTTTTGGTCAGTGGACCCTGAAATGTCACTGTCACACCTTAAAAATATATTTTTGCCCTGGCTTTGCCTTAGGATATATTTTGTGAAACAGATGTGGTAAGGATATATTTTTCTGGTCTGTAGTGGTGTCAGGGGTCTTAGTTTTAGCAAAAAAACTTGTGACTTTTTGCTGTCTGGGGTATATATTCTGG